GGACAGAGCGGAGTTTAGGGCTGTTGTACATAGGGTCGCTATGAGTCGCAGGCGACTCGACGGCACATAACAACAACAACAACAACAACAACCTTCATCACCATAGGCTGTTGCTCATATGTCATTTCATGAAATTCTTCTGTGTCAGCCAATTCCTTCTGATACAGTGACTCTGTGTATTCCTTCCATCTTCTCTTGATACTTTCTGGGTCATTTCATATTCTACCCAAAGTATCCTTAAGTATTGCCACCCGTGGCTTGAATTTGTTTTTCAGCTGCTTCAGCTTAAGAAATGCTGAGCGAGTCTGGCCCTGTTGAGTTTCTGATTCCATCTCTCTGCACACTTCATTATAGTATCTTGCTTTGTCGTCCCGGTCTGCCTTTTGAAATTTTCTGTTTAGCTCTTTGATTTCTTCCTTTAGCTTTGGCTTCTTGGTGCTCTAATGCAATATTCAGAGTCTCATCGGACATCCATCTTGGTCTTTTCTTCTTTTTCAGCCTTTTTAATGATCTTTTGCATTGTTCATGGACGATTTTCTTGATATCCTCCCAGAGCTCATTTGGCCTACCCTCATTGGTGCTCAAGGCCTCAAACCTATTCCTGAGATGGTTTTGAAATTTGAGTGGGATAGACTTAAGATAAAATTTTTGTTCCTGTGGACTTGATTTCATTTTTCTCAACTTCAGCTTGAACTTGCATATGAGTAGTTGGTGGTCTGTCCCACAATCAGCACCCAGCCTGCTGATACTAAGCTTCTCCACTGAATCTTTGCACATATGTAATCTATTTGATTCCTATGCATGTTGAAACTGTAGAGAACCTCAAACATTTGCTGTAGAGGGTCAGGACTGTAGTCTTCATTATGGATTGAAGCTCAACATCAAGAAGACAAAGATTCTCACTACTGGGCCATCTGGCAGCACCGTGAAAGGTGGAGAGGAGAAAGAGGTTGTTAACAATTACAACTTGCGTGGCTCCACAATTAACACTCTTGGCACCAGCAGTCAGGAAATCAAAAGACAAATTGCACTAAGAAAATTTGTTGCCAGGAACCTCTCCAAAGTACTGAAAAGCACTGATGTCAGTATAAGGACAAAGTTCCACCTAATACAGGTCATGGTCTTTGCAATTACTAGAGATTTGGACAATGACTAAGGATGACAGAACAAGAATCACTGCCTTCAAGTCATGGAGAAGATATGAACATACCATAGACAGCCTAGAAACAAATAGGTCTGTCTTGGAGAGGGTGAAACCAAGTTTCTCCTTAAGGCTAAGATTTTGAAGCTCTGTCTCACATACTTTGGGCACATGGCCAGGAGGGACAAGTCCTTGGAAAAGGACATCATGCTCAAAAGTATGGAGGAACAGTGTCAGTGAGGAAGACCCCCAAGGAGATGGATTGATATGGTAACTGGGCAATAAGGATTGGTGTGTTGGAATTACTGAGACTGGCTCATTATAGGGCAGGGTTCAGAGCCACTGTACATAGGGTCACTATGAGTTGCAGGCTACTCGACAGCACCTAACAACAACAAGGACAGTCATACCTCTTCTGATTTATGTTTTCAAGGTGGATGAATTGCTATATAGGGACAAAAAGAGGACACTTAAATTTTTACATAACTTTATCTCTTTGATGAAATAATGAGCTTCCTCCCTTAACGTTTCTCAATGAAGATCTCTGTTTTGTTATTGATGTCTGTCTCATCAATTACAAGCAATCCTCGAGTCACAAATAACTGATGTATAGACAACTCATATTTGCCATTTATGTGTTCCCTTACTTTGAAATCATTGAACTTTAAACAGATTCTTTATAAAAATCACCTTCACTTCATATGCAGCTTTAAAATAACTGAAAAGACATTGAAGCTTTTCTGGTGCTAAAGTTGTTGTTATTGTTATGTGCCATTGAGTCGCTTGCAACTCATATCAACCCTATGTACAACAGCCATAAACTCTGTTCTAGCCTGTGCCAATCTTGTTGTCTCTGACACACCTACCCCAATTACCCCAGTCACTGAATCAATCCATCTCATCAAGGGTCTTCCTCACCTGCGCTGTCCCTCCACCCTCCTAAGCATGATGTCCTTCTCCAAGGACTAGTCCCTCCCTGCAACATGCCCAAAGTATGTCAGACGAGGCTTCAGAATCCCTGCCTCCAAGGAGCTGGCTGGCTTCACCCACTCCAGGACAAACCTTCTCATTCTCTTAGCAGTCTCTGGTATATTCAATACTATTCTCCAACACCACAGCTCAAAGGCATCAATTCTCCTTTTATCATCCCTAGTCATTGTAGGTTAAAAAAAAACTGTTCTAAGGTTTTTTAGACACATGAGTGAATCCCAGTTGTAACCCTGGACTACTTTTAAGAATTAGTTCAGATTTATCTAAGGAGAGACTTCATTCAACAATTGAAAGTTGTACAAGTATTCAGGTCTTTCATTCATAGGGTCATTATGAGTCATCTACTAATTGACAGCAGTTAACAACAATAACAACTAAATATAAAACAACAACAACAAACAAGTAAGTAAATAAATAAATAAATCCCCCCACCAAAAGTTGAGCCATGGAAATACATTTAGTTTAAGGACTGAACTAATAGCTATTGTCTCAGGGGTTCCACAACTTGTTATCAGAGCTGTAATCCTGGTCATTTTTACAAACGTGGTCTTTTTTAACTTTTTATTATGATCGTAGAGAAAATTCGCAAAACAGATTGTTATTCATTCAACAATTCATACACATTTATGAGGTTGATTATAAACCCCACATTATAACTGCACTCTTTCCACTATTTCTTTAAGGTTTTGTTTCATTCACCCTTCTGTCCTTTCTCTTCCTATCTTCATCATTTTGAGTTTGTTCCACATTTCTCTCACAGTCTATCAAAGACTTTCTATGAGTATCTATTAAGAATGGTTGGCAAAGAACGACTTCCCATAATAATTGCACCATTTTACAGTAAAATCTTCAACATCACCAACAGCTGTGGAGCCAAAATAAGAGAGAAAGCTAACCAGACTGTAACAATACCATGGTGAGGTACAGCCTGTCAGAACCTTGGAGATGGAGACAGAGTTAATGATTTTGCTTGCTAGCAATTGAAAGAAGAGTTAACTTGTGATTGCCATGAGACAAAGTTTATTGGGCAATTTAGGAAACCAAAGGCTTTCTGCATTTGTATTGCTGGACTGAACATGGACTTTCACTTGTTGAGTGAGAAGCCCTCTAAACTAGTTGAGAAATTGGGTCTTGCTGTTAATCTGACTTGAGACACTGTTCACTTATTCCATATTTTCACTATGTGAAATCCTTTACCTCCCCCCATACTATAACCTATTTCCCTAGTAAATCCTACAACTGCAAGTAGAAAAACAGATGCTGTAAAGTCTGTTGGTCCTTTGCAATGAACATCAGACTCAGTGATCAATACAAGTAAGTGCAAAATGCAAGACGGCCATGTCTGACCTTGTTGGGATCAGTTTTATACTATGGATATTATGGGTACAGTTCCTCTTTGTGAGGTTTGTAGAAGTTGGGCTTGTCTTTCTCCATGCTACATTTGCTCCTTTTACACTGAAACAATGCGCTAAAAGACTAGATGGGAAAGGAAAGAAGGATGAATGGAAAAATATATTTCTTCCCAAGGGATTCAGTTCCATTGTATTGTGAGAATTGCAATCCATGCCATGAGAGGAAATTTATATAAATTTCTAAATAGAAAATTAATTTATTCAGTAACTTTTCACCCAAAGAACAAAAAAGATATTTTGGGGTTTGTTTTAAAGACAGTATGAGAGAAATGTGGAACAAACCCAAAGTGATGAAGGTAGGAAGAGAAAGGATGGAAGGGTGAATGAAAACAAAACCTAGAAGAAACAGTGGGAAGAACGCACATAAAATGTGAGGATTATAATCAACATCATAAAACATGCATCAATGGTTTATAACACCATCAAGTGGAGACAATATTTCTTTTCTTTGAAATACTTCCTTAACCTTGGCTCCTCCTATGTGCCAATTGGTCAGCAATGATTAAGCACTTGGAGTGCTGCCTTTGTGTTGCTCATACCTCTGAGAAATAGAAAGAAAAGGAAACAGACTCTGCTTAGCCACAACAGTGACACAAGATGCCTCTCAAACATCATGGTGTGAAACTTAATGATGGTCACTTTATGCCTGTTCTGGGATTTGGCACTGCCACAGATATTAAGGTAAGGATAGGGATTTGGAGTTTAACATTCAAAATAAAATAGCCTCAGGCTGAGTGGGGATTAATTTGGGTTGTCACATGCCCAGTTCCCAATGTGGCTCTGGATACTTACTGGGGTCTCAGTTTCCCCAGACTGTAACTGTTCCATAAATAAAGTAAGAAAGTTGATAAGCTTATGAGTCTGATATGTGGTCATCTACAGATGATTCTAGATATTGGTTTTCCCTCTTCTTTCCATTTACATTACAACTTGCTAGAAAAGCTGAATCTAGCAATGTAACTTACTGCCTACCAGTTGTCTTGTGTTGAGACTAGTTGTAATGGGAAGAGTGTGTATTTCTATGATTCAAGAAATATTTTCCTTCTATCAAGGAGATGCTATGCACAGATATCTTTAAGGTAAGTGGTCTTTCAAATAGAGATGCATGAGACATATTGGGAGAGAAATGCAGTTTTTGTGCTTAGCACCAAGCTGTAAATGACTGAGCTGAGCGTCCCTCATATGCTTTTCATTACTGGCAATGCATTTTGAAAGGAAAAGTGGCCTCTTTTTAGGAGAAAATAATGTATCTTATAATTCTAATTCACTAGCAGATCAGAAATTTTATTCTATCTGAATTACAGCTTCCAAAAATCCAATGGAAAGTCAACCATGAGTCAGTTCCAACTTGATAACAATCAGTGAAAATATATATAGAAAGTTTGACTTTGGAGTTTGGCCTTCACTGACAACTTTAAGTAAGAATCAGGAGGGATCTCAGAATACTGTATTTGATGGAGGTATTTAAATGGGTCTAAATGGTACAAACAATGATATTTAGGGTGATGTTGTTTTCCCTCTGAGATTCTGGTATTAAGGTATGTGCACAGCAGAAAATATTTCTGTAGCCAGACCTATAAAAACATGGGTGCCAAATCTCTAATGAGATTCCTATCAAGTAGAGATTCCCATAACTTGTCAAAATTCCATCCTGAAGGAATCCAGTGCATTCTGTGAGTCGAACTAGAAACTCTTGGAAGCTCATGCATGGCTTCCTCTGTACTATCCCTCATAAGACTTTGTATTTTGGCTGATTTTCCCTCTGTGTCACTTTAGTCTTAATCAAATCCATGAAAGCAACCTCAACTGTTAATTCTCAGTGAATACCTCTAAGTAAGAGTGGCCTTGGGGACCTGAAAGGCTGGTAAAAAAAATTAACCCAGTTAACTGAACTGAAGAGATTGTTAGGATCCCCAGGATAATAATTAAATATATGATTTGATACATCAGAGAGTGGAAGAGAAAAGGTAGATAAATCACTAATAGAGAGAGGATAGATAATTATTAGTTTATGTTAAGAGAAAGGCATTAATGATAAGGGACAAGTCAGCACAAAATTATCACAGCAAAGGTAAGATACTTAAAAAGAGCACAAGAGGGTGTAGGGCCCAGGGCAGCCACCTCCCAGGGAGCCGCAGGATGGCCAAGGGCAAGGCTGATGGGGCTACTGGCCTCTACACCAAGCAGGTGCAGAAGAAGTTCAGGAGGGCCCACGAGAAGGTACTGCAGAAATTGGGGGAAATGGTAGAAATCAAAGATGAACAGTTTGAACAAAGTGCCAGCAATTTCTATCAGCAGCAGGCAGAAGGTCTATATGACCTTCTATATGAGGATCTGATGAACTTCCTTAGTGCAGTTAAACTGATGCATGAAAGTTCAAAGAGAGTGTCAGAAACGCTGTAAGAGATCTGCAGCAGTGAGTGGGATGGGCAGGAGGAACTGAAGGCCATCGTGGGGAATAACGATCTCTTCTGGGAGGACTAAGAAGAGAAACTGGCTGACCAAGCTGTGAGGACACACCTGTAGGTATACTTGTTCAGAGAACGACGAATAAATCTGTCTTTGATTCACCACTCATTTCACAAGACTTAACGCAGGAGGGGGGATAAAAACCTAACCCAGGTTTATTTCAGATTCCTAAATAAAATGGGATGTTGTCTTTAATTAATTAATTAATTAAAGCACAAGAGTTAAAGACACAAAAAAGTAAACACTACATTTACCCAATCCTGTAACAACAGTGATAAAAATAATCTATGACTAGATTAATAGATCTACACTCACGTTGAACAGAAGTGGGATGGTGAATAGAACTACACTTATACACACACACAGAGATTTCGCAGAGGATGTTTCTATATGTGTATTTATATGTGCAACATTCACAAATAGAGTTGAGCATACAGGAACAAAATGGTGAAAACTTCTTAGCCAACTTGAAGGAATGTATCACTGAGTTTGAGGATTCAGGACCATAATCTTAGGGGACAATGGCTATTGGCAAAATGTAGTCCACCAAAACAAGATTCTATATCTGTGTTGAGCAGCAAGTGGGGTCTTAAAGCGTCTTAGTGATTAGGTCCAACTATTGCTCTCTCCCTGTATAGAGCAAAGAAGAGCAAAGGAAATGAAAGCTGTTAGGAAATAATTACTCTTAAAGATTAATGTTCCATATACACTCCAGCCTCAAAGACCAGAAGACCAGAAGAACCAGAGGATGACTGTCTACCTAAGAAAGGAATCCCCTGACCACTATGAAAGGAATCACTGTAAGAGTGAATGGTAGCATTGAAGAAAGTTCAGCATTGATTTTTTATTTTTGATGTGTAGTGTAAAATATAGTTAGAATAATATAGAAACTCTGTATTAGTGAAAACCCCTTGAATCTTGGATTGTTGCACACAAATGGCTTATTTCCCATATTATGTGTGAAAATTACTGTTTAGGGAGCTAAGTAACTAACGGCTCTGCTCATTTCAAAGGCTGTGAACAAATGCACAACCTCTGTAACCATGGAAAAAAGATCTCCGTAGTGACTAAACTGAATCCAGCCTTAATAAGCACCATTTTAAATGGTGATAGCTTTGTTTCAGTAAAGATGTAAACTGTTTCTTCAGTAACATTGGAAGTCCTGTAACCTGGATGCCAAATGATGTCATGAGATTTGTTACTCCCTATAGAAGCCCCTTTTAACTATGTTTAAAAAAAAACCCAAACAAAACAGAGCTTTGAAGAATGATTCCCCTGCTTTCCATATCTGATTATAAATCACATAAATAAAAATAATTCCTTTTGTTTATTTCCTCTCACAATTGTGAAAAAGACCTGTCCAGTAACATTTTGGCAACACACACAAGGAAATATTCTCAGATTCACCTGGCAAGTAGTCGTATGTCTTGATTTTGCTTACTGAAGGACACTGAGCCAGACCTACTGCAGGAGGCAATCCTGACATTTGCATCTCAAACTTCCAAATGGTGCCGATAAGACTTATTGTCTCAAAAGACGCTTGAGAGGTGAATGCTCGGCATCCTCAGCGTTGTCACGAATTTATATACTTTATTTGATAATTACTTATCAGAGGCGTAAACATGTCTCTATTATGTGTTTACATTTGGTCTGATTTATTGTAAAAATAGAAGTGACAGATTCTAGCTGGTATCTGTGAGCTGATGTTGTTGTTGTTATGTGTCATCGAGTTAATTGTGACTCATAGTTACTCTCTGAACAATAGGTCTGAATATGCCCTATCTTGAGCCAGTCACACTGTAGTAACTACCCCAGTTACTGTGTCAATCCATCTCATCCGAGGTCTTCCTCTCCTACACTGTTTCTCCACTCTTCCAAGCATGATGTCCTCCAAAGACTGGCCCTTCCTTGCAACATGCCTAAAGTATATGGGATGGAGCTTCAAAATCCTTGCCTCCAAAGGAAAAAATTGGATTTACTGTCTCTGTAATAGACATGTTTGTTCTCTTGAAAGTCCATGGTATGTTCAATGCTCTTCTCCAGCACCATAATTCAAAGGTATCAATTCTTCTGTCATCCTCAAAGGTATAAATTCTTCTGTCATCCCTAGTTATTGTACAGCTTTCCAATGCATAGTAAATATGAGAAGACTTTGGCCTGGGTCAGGCCCATCTTAGTCTCTAGGCTGATGTCATTGCCCTTTAGCACTCAGGAGAGGTCCCTGACAGCAGACTTTCCCAATGCAATGCTTTTAATTTTCTGACCGCTAGTGCCAAGAATGTTGATTGTAGATTCAAGCAAGATGAAATTGTTAACAACCTCAATCTCTTCTCCATTTATCATGGTGCTGCCAATTGGCCAGTGATAAGAATCACTGTTTTCTTGATGTTGAAGTGCAATCTATATTGAAGACTACAGTCCATTATCTTATGTAGCTAACGCTTCAGTTCTTCCTCCATTTGGGTAAGCAAAATTGTGTCATCTGCATAGTATAGGTTTTTGATGAGTCTTCCTCCAATCCTGATGCCACATAACTCCTCATAAAATCCAGCCTTCTGAATGAGCTGTTATTTATATAGATTGAAAAGTTATATTGAAAAAAGATATTCAGTAAAAACAACTATGAGATATCATCTCACCCCAGTAAGAAGAGCAAAATTTAACAGAACAGCAAGCAACAAATGTTGGTGAGGATGTGGAGAAACTGGAACTCTTACTCACTGTTGGTGGGAATGTGAAATGGTGCAACCGTTGTGGAAGGCGGTGTGGCACTTTCTCCAAAAATTGCAAATAGAGATACCATTTGACCCAGCAATCCCATTACTGGGAATATACCCCAGAGAGACCATAACTGCCATCCAAGCAGATATATGCACACCCATGTTTATCGCAGATTTGTTTACAATAGCAAAGAGTTGGAAGCAACCTAAGTGCCCATCAACAAACGAATGGATAGAGAAGCTGTGGTATATTCACACATGGACTACTATGCCGCATTGAAAAAAAGGAACTCATGCAATATTATTCAAAATGGATGACGCTGAAGTACATTATGCTGAGTGAAATATCTCAGGCAGAAATGGACAAATACTGCATGGTGCCACTGTTGTAAAATGGGTCTGACATCAGGGTTGAGGTAAGACTGAGAAAAAACTGGATAAATTATGTATACTGTATTGAAACAGATAAGGGAAAGAACAGATTAGAGGTGA